AGACACGTAGCAGTCAAGCCCCACAATCAGGCTAGGAATCACAGCAATTAAACAACTTCAAATCAACCATTTATAAAGAATTCAGCTTTTGCTCCAGATTCTGTAGATTAAGCTTAAGATGATCAGTGAGTTGTGGACATAGATTGAGACCTACCTAAAATTCATTCCTTTAGCTGGTCTCCAAATACAACTTTACTTCAATTTGGCAATAACTTAACCAATTTTGACTGTAATACATCCACAATAAGAAATGAATTTCCCATCACCGAGAGTCATTTAAAATTCACCAAACCATCCCAAGGTCATTGACATCATTATGCCTATACTCTTTACTTTACATCACCATACAAACCCATTCATTCATTCCAACTTCTTACCCATAAAGAAATGAAAGAAGAAAACCCACAAAGAGAATTCCTATAAAGTCACGATATAATTATTACAGCAGAAGAAAAAAATAAAGTCGAATACGAATATGATAATAAATAACAACATGAGCAGCAGCAGCAGCAGTCGATACAACAAAAACAACTGAGCAGATCGAAAAATACTATTTTTGTGTAACGTGAAATAAAAAAGTAAAAGTGAATTTCCGTTTCTTCTTCCATGAAAGATTTTATATTTTTACGTCACACTGATTGCATTTACACGACGACCGATCATGATGATGGCAAAACCTTACTAGCCAATTTCAAGTTATTTTTTTTATTTCACTTATTTCTTTCTTCATCTTCGATTTTTCATCCTCTCGAATATTTTTTTTTTCATTTTCATACATTTTTTTATCGAAATCGCTATCCAATTTAAGTGGTGCTGCGATGCGGCGGTGCTGAGAAAAAATTAAGTAAAGTTGTGATTGGAGTTAAATGAGTTTTATGGTGCATTTTGAGTATTTGTTATGAATTTGGATAGATTTTTGATGTCAATTCTAGGAGTTTTAAAGGATTAAGATAGGTGACATGTAAAACTATCAAAATGGACATCCTAATGGCTTCTACTTAATTTTTTTGTGATTTGTGGAAGTCTAGTGTGGTTCATGAGCTAAAAGGGGTTTAAAAGAGCTGTAATCATTACCTCACTGCCCCAAGGTAGCATAACCCCCCTTTTTGCTAAGATTATAACTCCTTTTGGGTCTGAAGTGTCAAAAGTTGAGGATGGAACTCAGCCAACACCTTCTTCATTAAAACAAAAATAGTCTACACCTAGTCACACCTAAAAGTAACCCCAAACAAACCTTTCTTACTCTCAATAAAATTGCTAATCACAAAATGTATAAATTGCAACAAGAAAATAAATATAAGAAGATGATGTTGGTATGATATAAGCGCATAAGTTGTTCCAGGAAATTCTCATAGCATTCCAAACGCGAACATTGCAAATAATCCATCGGTTCATCTTATAAGCGCACAACATGCAAAAACTCGTTAATAGTGAAATGAAGAAGTGCTTTCAATAAATTTCAAAGTAAAATCAGAAATGGAATGGAGATGCACAGAGTCGAGAGATAAAAAAATTTGAATAAAATAGTGAGAGGTTGAATAATGTTGCGGTTATCTGAAGAACGAGAAAAGTGCTCGTATAACTGCGAGCATTTAGTAATAAATGATGATGATGCTGTTTACTTTTTCCTCGATTACAGCAATTATAGGCTCACATAATTGTGTGTATCTATGGACTTCATCCTATCGCATTTCAACGACTGTAATGAACATTATGAAGCGGTTTCGATGTTCTTGTTTGTCTATTATGCTACGTTAGGAATGAAAAATTGATTGTTATGTTGTGGAATTTAATGGATATGATGTTTTAATGAGAATTTTCTTATGGATGGCTGAACAATTTATGAGATTGTTAAATTTCCAGCTAAGTTCTTTAAAAATAATTGTTTTGGTCTAGGCAACATTATAGCAGCCTATAAATAAAATTTGCAGAACACAATCGTGACTTTTATTAGAAATTTAATAGAAAATATTTCATGCTTCCAAATAACAACTATGAAAATAATCACAATATCAAGGTAATTGTTCGAAGAAGCCTGCAGCCTGCAACCTTCTATTATTCAATTTCAACTTATTCTCAGAAAAACCACAGCAAAAAAATCAGCATCTCAATTACAATTTCATTGATTTCCTTAGCATTTCCTTTTAATGATGACGTTGATTCTTATTAAAGCTGCCTATTTATGGACGAAGAACTTTTCCTTCCTTATTTTTGCTAGCACAGACGTCTTAATTAAATGGACTTAATTAGAACCAACTCAATTATACTAAGCAAAAAAATAGTAAGTGTGTCCGTGACACATCAACAGTTTTTTTTCTGGTTGTGAGTTGATTAATTAGTAGGATTATGGGTTCTATGTTGGGAAGCGTGAGACTGCTGATGTGGAAGATGTTTGTATTTTCTTTTTTGAGGGAAAATTTAAGGGGTTGTTTAGATGTAAAGGAATGTTAAAGACTACGTTTCTGGCTGTTTCTGGTTTTGATCTTTTATTGCCACAAAACAGGTGAGCCAGGGGAAGCTTGATGGATACTATTTTCTCCCAATTTGCTAGTTGATTTTTAGAAAAGTCCTTTAAGATTCAGGAACCTAGTTTCTACTAAAGGACCAATAAGTGACCTTTATAGTCCCAGTGACTAGAACCTAGACAATATTGCTTAAAGTTCTTATCAATGAAAATGTTAAATTCCATTCCATCAATCCACAGGCGTCCTCTTCACAGTTTAATGCTGTATCTTCGTCTTTAATTTTTATTTTCTTCTTCGTCGATCCCATCATCACCGTAAAATTACCTTTTTAATCATCCAGCCACAAAAAAGACTATCAAAAAATCAATCACATTCTCCTCTACGCTTAGGTCCCGCAAAATTGCAAAAAAAAACTGTACGCAGCTAATTGAATTTGAAGAGGATTTAATTAACTTGACCATCAATTCTATCCACCTGTACATCGTCAAAGCTTTTAATTATCCATCAAATAGACACGCGACCACTGACGTTGCTAATGAATCTTCTACAGCATGTCAATAAACATGAAATGCTTCATAATATTTGCTTAACGTCCGTGGAAATTCCTTTTTTCTCTTCATTCAATTTATAATTTTTTTTTTGTGATCATTGCATATGACATAATCGAGGACATAATAATGTAGAGTCATCAGAGAATATAATTCAGCATGCGAAGATGATGGAATAAAATTGATTCCGACGTTCGCTTTTTTTACACAGCTGTTTCCTTACAATTCATGTCTTATTATCGATGCTTCTCGCTGTATGCATCAAGTGACTCCTCTCTCTTCTTCTTTCTGAATGTCGTTGCTTATGTGGAAAAAGAAGTGCATGATTGGAAGTTTGTGAGGTGAATGATTGGGGAATTGGTGGATATGACGCATTTTTTGTGAATGTTGTTGGAGATTTGGTGGTTCTGTTTGAGAATTTTGACTAAGGTAACCAAAAGTAGCTGTGAAGAAGGCTCTTCAAGCAGATGGAAAGAATGATCAAGTGAGGCATGATAAAGCCTATTTAATTTAAATTCACGTTTATTTGCTATACCCAAGCATCATAAAGGTTCAATAGTAGTCTAAATGACTGTTAATGCCTCTATCTGCAGCTCAAACTTTTACGTATCAACATTCACTACTAATCTTCCACAAATCGACATCATCTTCGCAAAAAACAAACATAAACTAAAATGTTTTTTACAAGATTACCACTGGAGATAACTTTTTACTTCTTCTTAATTTAATTGAGTCGTTCCAAAGGAAAAGTGAAGGTCGAGTATTAATTAAAATGAATCTCCATTCATCTTGCTAAAAATAGCTAATAAATATTTGAAAACTTCTTTTTTTTGTGAAAATTATTAAGCATTTAATTGACAGTGAAAGGTGAAATGTTAACAGCCATGCGAAATTTTTGTCTGGCTGTGAATTGTTTTTATGTAATAAAATGTGGAAGTTGAAGAGTTTTTAATTGGGCGGATTCTGTTGCTTCTTTGGTGATTAAGAAATTTTTTTGGAAGTGATAATTTAGAAAGGGGATGGACACTTTGGATGACAAAATTTGAATTTTTGGTTTGTCTGATGCTGGAGATCAGTTGTTGGTTGATTTTGAGTTGAGATCTGGGTGCTCAATTGATAAGCTTAATGTCTGAGGGACAAGCTGTGACACACTTTGAAACTTTAAATGACTAAGCAAAGGAGGACTACCCTAAAATTAGAAATTTACCTAAGCTCATGATTCTTGATGACCACAACGATACTTTAAAAAAAACATTAAAAGTTTCCCACGCTTGCAAGAAAACCAAAAAGTGCCCATCCCTTGCCATCAAATCACTATTAATTTCATGCTAGACCTTCCTTTAGCTACGCAAATTTGTTATTTTATATTTTTCGTAATATTATGAATTTATTTAAATTGTTGGTGTTTTTGGCATAAACTGCGGGATCCACAAAATAAAATAAGAAACAGAGGCACGAAAATTATGCAAGATACTTTGATTGATTACTCATTAATTGATGGTGATTTTTTTATTATTGAAAAATTATTTCACATTTGAAATTTGAAAACGTTTAAAAGTCATTTTGATTGAATTTATGGGATCTGTGGGGTAATTTTGAGGTTATGATTATGTTTAATAGTTTTTTGATGAATAAATCAAATTTGAATATTTTTCATGGTTTTTTGACGAAGAAATCTGTGAACAGAGAGTCACTTCACATCCATCTAGACCCTAGCTCTGCGATACCATCGAAAATGAACTCAAATAGCACATAAGAAGCTCATACCCTCAATATTACACACAAAACAACAATCTATGTTAATATCAACATCTCCAAAAATTCCCACGACGGCACCATGCTTCATTAAACAAACATACATATAAAGTAATTAAGGTCTCTTAATCTTACTTTAATTGTAATTAAAATTTTATTTGTACTCGCATTATTTTTTTCCTCTCATTGGGATCCCCCTCCTTCCACTTGTGCATTATTATTAATTCAATATATGCTTCTTCTACTTTCAGATGATCAAAATGATGCTTGCAGTTGTCTTCGTCTTCATTTTTTGCTGGCTGCCATTCAACTTGTTCATGGTGAGTTCAATTATTAGATAAATTAAGTTTTTTTTTAATATGCGAAACTGCAATGTGGATGAGTGACTTTGCTGCTGCGTAATGAAAAGGAAGAAGAAATTTATTTTTTGATGGATTTCTCAATGAAAAATGTGAAGAAGGATGGGCAGTAGTGAAGGGGTTTAATGTTTATGAGAAAAAATTAATTAATGTTTCTGTTGAGTTTGAGTTTTTGCGATTTGAATGGCAGTTTTGTTAATTGGGACAGTTGAGTATTGCACTCTAAACTGCTCGATGGTCCTTCTTGATACTCTAGGCCTGGTTTCTAGGGCTACCCTATCTCAGATTAATCTCTACTTACTGACTGTAACCATGTTCCTATGTGGAGCTTAGGTTACAACAAAAGGCTTTTCATCTGATTCTGTTGCTAGCCTTTTCACCTAGTTTGTACAAATTCTCTCTCCGCACATTAATCTGATATCTTTCATCACTGTCCTGCGCCAAGTAGCTTTTCGAGCTCCTAGGCGTCTCTTACCTTGTTGATCCCATCCAAGAGCGGTGTAACAAACTTTTGTTTCTGTCCCAGCAATGACATCACGTATTGTAGTAGATCGAAATTAATTTCTGCTCTAGCGTGCTCCTGGTGGACTTACAAACTGCGCCCTGATCAAAAATGATGTTTTCTCTCTAAAACATCACCAACAGAAGATTGCTCAACACTGTATAAATCCACAACCTTCATTCCTCAATAAAGAGTATCACTTTGCAGCAATATTTTACGATAATTATGTAAATATCAGATTTCCATCAAACTATTAATTACTTACTTAATTGCATCCGAATATTACCACTAAAAAACCTCGATTGCATCCGTCAGTAAGTCACTCAATGTTAAAGTAAAAGATAATGAAGAAAAAGCTTCTTCGAAAAAGTCGTCTGCAGGAGGTGTGGTGCTAAATTTAATTCTTTATTATGAACTATTCAATAATCGGAATTTAATAATAAATTTTTCATCACTTTCACAGCTCCTTGGCCCCGATGAGTCTACAGAAAGTCCGTTATTACCATATTTATGGTTTGTATTAAAAAAAAATAAGGCATCACAATTTTTATTACACATATTATATTTTCGCATATTACTGTGAACTAATGTATCTTTCACTCTATTTTCGGTTTCTTTCTCTTTCTTGCCTTCTTTCCATCAAACGTTCGGTCATTATAGGTTTGCATTTCACTGGCTAGCGATGTCACACAGTAAGTGGTTTTCTCATACATCCATTTCTTTTTAATTTATAGCTTCATACAATCTAAATTGCATAATACTCTAAAAAAAATGTGATGAATTAAAATTCAACAACATCCACTAAAAATAGAGAAATAACGGCTAGCTATCATTAAATACACCAATTGCATATTATATAATATCGCGCACAATAGCAGCGAAATGAAATTTCGGTCAGAAAATGATGATTAATGGGATCCCTTTTTACAAGCTCATGTCAATACATGTCGGAAATTTGATACACAAGTAGCTGGCTAATAATAAAATTAACTTCAATTACTGCAATGTGATGATTAATTATTCAACATGTACTGTAAATTATTGCAGAAGGTACATTACATTGTGTACTTCTCACACAACAACAGAAAATGATCCGACAATTGTGGTTATTTTAAATTAATTTTACTGTATATTATGAATTTATTTGTGTATACTGTATCTTTTCCCATTGTGAATGAACATGCAGTGAAGTCAAGCACTGTACCTTAGTTTAATACATCACATATGTTGATCTTCTTGTTGCATGTAGGGGTTCTTGAGTGGATTAATGGCCGGGGTTTAAATATTGTACAGCTTATATTTTATAGATAGCGACCATTCACTGAGTCTTAGCACAGGGCTTGCATTAGCATCAATTGTGGAATAGAATCTAGCTAAAGCTATTGACTCTTTTTTGTCCAGAATTCGGTTCTTTAAACTGAATATCAGCTCTGATATCAATTAATCTAGCAGCAATAGCTGCAGTAGGTAATCACATCTAAAGTCCAAGTTCCACTCCAAACACGAGTCGAATTGTTATCGAAGCTACAAAGTGGTTCCTACTACTGAATGTCCATCGCTTGGAATATTTAATATTCTGCCTATTGAACCACCAAGTGATCAGTTTTTCAAGTGTATAAAATTACCTCATTCCATAAAATTCTATAGCTTAACAACAACTTCAACCCATCAACTACAACCAAATTTTAATTAAAATAATAAATCCTCATAAATCCTTTCTCAAACAAATCCAATTGAACCCCTACAAATGCTACATCACCAACTGCATGGTATCATGTAGATTAATTAAGTTACTTGTATGACTTCAAAATAATATTTTCTGTACTTTCTCCTACAATAGCGTCATGCTGACTCTCTTCAATACCTTTTAAATTAAATTGCAATTGAATTGAATATATTCCATCATCCATGCACTTTTAATTCCATGCAATATGCAGCTATTATGAAATAATTCCATTTGTTAATTTGTAAGGTAGCCAAAGGTCTTTTGGCTATTATCATGAACTTTCCATTAACTCAATTAAATTAAGGAAATTCAATGGAAAAAAAGTGAAATGTTTTCAGGCAAGAAGGAAGTTTTTTTTTCATTACGTGATGGAATCAATGACCAGATCATTGTTGAGAATTTGATTTGTGCATGTCATGGACTCATTATTAGATTTGAATAGAAAACATTGAAAGGAAATAATAAGTTATGAATATTGAATTTTAATCTTAATCTAACCTTCTTCGATGTAGTCCATCTATATTATATTACAAGGAAGATCTAAGCAGTTAAGTGCCTTGCTGGTTGAATAGGTAAGGAGCTTGGCTCAAATTTGGGATGGTAACTCGAAGGTCGTCGGTTCGAATCCAGCCATTTCCAAATTTGTTCTTTTCCGGAAGTTTAGATACTTCGACTGCTTAATGTAGGAGATCAAGCCATAATTGGGCATTTTGGGCAACGTTGGATTAAGGAACGGGTCAGGAACTTGACAGTATGTCGTCAATAAATGCAATAAAGTGCAATTAAAATGAAAAAAAAAATCTGTGAACTCACAAACCTCTCAAACATGTAAGACAAAAACATTTGCTACCTTACATCCTCGTACGCGATTATATTTGATATGCCTTATAATAAGCCGCGATATAAAAAAAAAGTCTGTGTTGATAGAAGTTATTGATCATAAAAATAATAATGAGCTTTCTGTGTGATGGGTTAAGACTTAACACCACAAAAACACATGTTTCTGTTGAGGCATCAAATTTATCATCTAATTCGCTAGGTGTGGAGACTTGCAGGAATTTTTTAGTTGATGATTTTTTTGGAAATTGAGAAAAAATTTGACGAAAAATGAGGAAAAAGACAGCAGGAGGTTATAGGGTAGCTAGGGTGACCATCTGCGTAGTTTTACAACGGACAGTCCTGTATTTCAAAACCCTGTCCTGTATAAATTTGAAAATTTTGTTCCAGGTCCTGTATTTTTTTCACGAAAATTTCCGTTAATTTTCAAATTTTCCTTTGTGTCCTGTATTTTTTGGGAAATTTATCAAATGTCCTGTATTTTCATAAAAATTAGATGGTCACCCTAAGGGTAGCTCATGTGTCTGCTAAATAGTTTTGTAGACAGGGCTTTCGTATATTTTTTTTGCTTACAAATTCTAATCCCAAAAAGGGGAGTTGACAGCTAAGACCTCCTTTGATGGACTTCGTTCAACCACTTGCTTCTTGATTTCTCATCTTATGACTCACTGAGCCTCGAAGCTACTCTTGCAGTAAATAATATATAACAAGATAAATCCACAGCACCACATGACGTCGACTATTCCACCTCATTTTCCTGTCAAAGCCACAATAACAATTTATCACTACTAATTGCCAGCATCACCAGAAATACCCAATCCTGTTTGTTGTTGCCAATAAATTTTCTCATCAGCAGGCCCTCTTAAAAACAATGTCCCATAGATGATCATAATGGTGTTACAGATACTTGACATAGAAAGCCAATACGTTGCCAAACTCCATGCAACAAACATTTTTTTTATCGCATTATTTATTGCCCCAAAATATTTTCGGAATTATTTCTGAGTTTGCACAAAAAAAAATATATTTTTTATTTGCTTTGTTGTTATGCAAAAAAAAAATAAGAGCTTTGAGACAGGCTTTAATGCGATTTTAGGTTTATATCATTTCACTTTATGAGGGCATTAAATTTAATTTGGACTTAAGTCAATTTGGTTGCTACTTTAATAGGAGCTTTTTGATGTAGTTTTTTATTTATTTTAGGGGATTACATAGCAATGATAGGAATCAGGATTCGACATGTTTTTATGTCTTTTTGGCACCTTGATCAATTAAAAATTCATCAAAAAATTCCCACCTTAATTAAGCCATCCCCAAAAACAAGGTTGATCTCAAAATCATGTCAAAAAAACATCAATCAGCAGCAACAAGAAGACACCCAAAAAATTACAGTCTATAACACGCAATTTAAAAATAAAAGAAATTGTTGAAAGACTTTTTTGTTGCCTGCAAATATCAAGGATTTGACATTTTAACAAAAATCAATTCAAGTGTCAATCTACTTAACGAGTTTAATTAGGTGCTTTTTTGAAACAAATTTAATGCCTAAGAAATTGGTTAATGACTGTGATGAAAATTAGCGAAATGTTGATGATTGAATGAGCTTGAAAAAGATAAGTTGATTGGAATGTGAGGTGTTGGTTGAAGTGCTATAGATTGATAAAAATAGATGACATTTAGAGTATTATGCAATTGAGAGGACGGCTGAGTCACTTGAGCACCCTAGTAAAGCCCAATGCCGACTCTTATGTTGTATCCAGCTTCATCCAAGCCACAAATTCTATTAGAAACCCCAAACCTATCCACAAGATATTCCACAGCTCCATACTATTATCAATTCATGCAATAATCCTGAATAATTAACATTTTTTTCTCTTTCATCTCTTTCACAGGTTGTTACAATCCAATAATCTACGGTTTAATGAATTCACGATTTAAAGCTTGCTTCATCGCAGTTTTGTATCGCATACCAGGATTTCAGAAGTTTTTCGCTCGTCGTTTAAGAGGTACTCGTGAAAGATATCCCAATAATGGGGAAAGTATATTTTTAGCATTAAATCATCAACAGACTTGTATTAACAAAACTAATCGCATCGTTAAAAATGATGATTATTATAATGGTGACGTTCGAGTTAATGGTACGAAGACACATCATTTATGCACATAAAAAAAATTTCTATCATGAAAAATTAACAAAGCATTAATAACATACAATTTTTGATTTTTTTTAAAGTTTATTCAAGCTCTATTAATTATTTTTCAGTTCCTTTTTTGATCGTACTTTTTTTTATATAGAATGATGAATATGTTCGCAGTTCAAATGGCTTTATAGACATAGACATAGACATAGATATAGACATTAACGTTTGTGATGATCAGATACACATATTACTATTTGCATAATGTGCCTTCATACATCAGACATAAATTGATGTGCATTTGGAATGGATTTTGTCATTAACCGCATGGATGTTTAATGAAATAACATTTAGATACTTAATAATCATGTGATACGTTTTTGTGTTTGTTTTTATTTCATTCTGTATGTTGGGGATTATATCAAGAGATATGAGATGTTAAAGGAGACAAATGGGGTGAGGCAAATGTCTTCATCATAATAGCTTCTTGCATCCATAAGACCCAAATGTAAACATTCAATATAATCATATTTTGATTTGGGTCCACTCTTATCCTAATTGTTTTCTATAGAGCATGACAGTTCTGACATTTTTCATAACATCCCTTAATATTTCTATCATTGTAAATCTCAAACCTCATAAAACCTTATAGACGTGATCTCATACCCAACTCTTTAGACAACCAAAAAAGAAGAAAAGGAAGTTAAAATAAACTTTAAGTTTGCTCAAATAATTTTCACACTCGGTTGACGTGATAATGAAATGCTTTTAATTTTCTTCAATTTAATCAAATCATTAGTACGGACTTTTAAGAGGTCATTAGCATTTTTTGGCAGATTTTGCGGACTTAATTCGACTTTAATTTTCCAATTCAGTGATAATTCCACAGGTAGCTATGGCCCTTAAAGCAGACTAATTGAACTGTATTTACTATGATAAATTGCTTCGTAAACACGTTCGTTTGGCGAGAAAAAAGTTGCTTTTTATGCTGATAAAGTGTGCGGATAATTAATGGGAAGCGAATCATGGATTTTAATTACATTAAATGATTGAAGTTTTAATTACATCAGTAAACTCATTTGAGAAGCTGTTGTTGGTAATTTCTGCTTGTTTTGTACTAATTGAAAGGAGTTGCTGATATGGAATGATGCATAAAATTTACCTTTTGTGTTTTCAAGTTGACCTGATAGGTTAAAGCTCTTAGATTTTGCAAAACTGATGTGGAAGTAAGATTTTTTGAGAATAACTATTCATTGCATCCCTTTCGACCCTTCCTGAATAGATTATAAGCAACCAGCATCAGTTTGAAGCCAGTGTCGACTCAATGTCCGCACTTAACTTAGTCTATGCGAGATTAGTAGCTTCCTTTATGTAATGTGTTCCCAAATTCAATTGATATTCACGCTAGCCATGAATGCTAACCCTAAACATAGTTCAACTTAAAGAATCTTCATCACTTCCATTAAATTAATAGTTTGTAGCTCAAAAGTAAACACTGCAATCTGAACAGCACTCACAATTCTTCATTTAAACTCAACAAACAAGCTCCACTTTAGCACATACTTTTGCAGTAATTAATCACACATTTCAAGAGAAATAATTGAATTTTGTTTGAACTGGAAAGCTCTTTCTGTTGATAGAATCCAGCACTATGTTGGGATGATTTGTTGAGATAAATTAAATTTTCATGGAAATTTTTACAAAGCAAACCGAGAGCATGTAAACAGACCACGCAATTAATGTCGCTATTTAATTACTTACATTTTATTCATAATGCTTTTAATGATGTGCTAATGTTGAGGATTCAAGGACTAAAATTTGTACTTTAATGGATGGAATGTTCTGTCTGTAAATGACCAGATATTTGGTTTGATGACATGCTGAATTGATGATCAAAAATATTGTTATGCTTTCTGATAAAAAGCATATTTTTCTGATGGAAGCATAGTGCAGAATAGAAGCATGGTTAACACTTTATATCAGGAATTGTGGGATAAACTTCAGGAAGGAATCAAACCAGCAAACAGAAGTTTCTGGTGATTCACAACAAGACAGAAAAACGTTAGATTCTGCAGAGACCAATTCGTCTCCATACAGCAAATATAAAAGATTAAACATACTGAACTCAAACGCCACAAAAGCAAACGCGAGAATAAAATTTATTTTTTCATTTATTCCTTGCATTAAGCCTTTCAGAAAAAGGTTCAAAGTGGGATTAATTAAAATGAATTTTAAAAGCATTTATTTTTAACTTTTATGTTCACATTAATTAAGTCAAATGTGGTTATTTGTGCATTAACATATGAACTAATGCTTCAAAAGCATCATCGTTAGCAGAATAATCAGGGTTACTAAAATGAACGTTGAAATTAAGGATACACAAAAAATAAGGACTTTTTTAATGATTTGGGAATGAAACGAGATCAAAGCTGAAAATTTTTGAGGGGTCTCCAACTATGACGTTTAATGTTGAAGGAGGGAAGAGGAATAAAATGACAGGATATAAGAAGGGGTCATGACAAGCTCCATTTGACCTCCTCTCTGTTCATATCGGACGTTATTTATGAATGACCCCTTGATAATCGCATGAAAAAACATTAAAAGCTCTTTACATACATTCTAAAAATCACATAAGGGGTCGTTCACTTATGACGCCCGAAATTAACGGTCATTTTTCTAAAAAGAATAATGAATTTCCAGGAATTTCCACTGTTCTTATCTTGCTGACCCCCCTTGGACATCATAAGTTAACGGCCCCTAATCATGTTTTAGCTTAATATTCGTACCATACAACTCACAATAGAAATTATATCAGCAATTAAAATAGTGATAAAAATAAATTTCCACCTAAAAATACCAAAATGAGGCTATCAAGAGGTTGGAAATGAATGACTCGGAAGCATTTTTGTATGTTTAGTGAGCATCATAAAAATAAGAGATGCGATAATAATGTTTATTAAGGGATATTTTTAAGCTTATTCTGTGTGTATGAATGAAATTTTCTTTATTGTATCGTGCAAATGAATGAGTTTATATTCTTATCAAGGATGCTTCTTTATATATTAAAAATAAATTCACATAATTCATTCAGAATAAATAATCCATATAGAGTCAAAGAATCATATCTAAATGTCCAAACATAAATCTTATCTCAAATGACATTTTTATTGATTTTTCGTCTTCTTTTTCTTTTATCTCTTTTCAAAAAGGGTTTGAAGAGAATTCACATTTGCATAGAATGAACACGAGTACGACATATATTAGTACAAGAAGGAAGCAACAGCATACAACTGGAAAGATTGTTCAGAAAGTTGAGGTTTGTAATCAATTTGTCATTTAAATTCAATTTGTGACAATTTTTTTTACTGTTAAGGAATTGATTATTTTTGAGGGTTAAGGGTGCATAAATCATGTTTGATGAAAATATTTTAATAATTTTCTTTTGTTCTTGTAATTGTTTTTGGGAAAATTTGAATATTTGAGGAAAGTGGAGGCTTAAAAGTTTGAGAATGTTCATTAGAATTTTTAAATTATTCATTTCTTGTCAATTTTTATAAAAGAAATAGGAATGAAGTATGTTTGGAGCTAGTGACATGATAATATGGACTCAATAATGTAAACAAATAGGAAGGAGGATTTTAAAATCTCTAAACTTCAATCCCCAATTCTAAGTTAACAAAACTGTCCCTTTAAAAGTTTAGAAACAACAAATTATTTAAAAATTCAAATTAAAATCCAACAAAACTCATCAAACTTAAAAATATAAAATTTCACAAGACCCTCTAACCACCCCTGCAAACTTCTAGTTCTGCATTTCAACATAAAATCCATAAAATATATATTAAAAAATTTTCTTTCCATTATTCTTCATTTTTCATATCTCATTTTTCTAAAATTGATTACAGACGAGCTGCTTTTGTGAGGAAGCATCCGTCAACAGATGATACGATAAGAAACTGAACAACAATGTCAGCTTTAAGAATGGGAATGGTCTTAAAACGTAAAATGTGATAAACAGAAAAATTGTAGATAAATTTTCAAATTTAAATCAAATTGAGACAAAGATAAAGAAAAGTAAAGAGAAAAAAAATATTTTATTGAAGTCTTTTTATATATTTGCAAAATGAAATGAAAAAATGATGTTTAGAGGAATTTACACTGAGAGAAAAATAATTTTTCTGATGGTTATTAAAGTGATGAGCTTTAGAATTGTAGAATGAGAAATTAATATTTTATAAAAATTTATGCATCATCCAGAAGTAGCTATTGTACTTATAATTCTTGAGTTTGGATCTAATTGAGAGTTATGGTTCATTTGACCGGTTGATTCCAGTTAAAATAATCAGCAACACCCCAAAACAGACATCCCCAAAAATCAAAATGTTTCAAAATTATCCCAAAAAATATCAAAACCAATCAAAAAAAGTACCAAACCAATAAAAAACTACAAAAATAAAATAAAAATTCTCTCAGTGTAAGTCTCACAACTATGTAAATATCTTGTCGTGATTCACCTGAAAGTCCATTCACTTTTATTAAAAAATCGTGTTTTGCATAAAGAAAATAAAAATTGTAAGTAACAAAATGTTTGTAAAGAAAATTGAGAAATTACATTTAATTTATGGAACTTTATTCATTTTAATTGCCATTTTCGAGGAACAAAAAAAAATGTTAAAAAAGTGTCGCTGTTTGGCATGAAGGAGAAGATGATGTAAATTATTATAAAAGGAAAATTTGAAGAAAAAAATAAATAAATTTATGTTGACGATGATTTTGAGATGCCATAGAAAATAAGTTGGTAATTACTTTTATGTTCTTGTTATGATGATTTTCAGGGATGGTCAACTGAGTTTGAAGCTTCTTGAACTAAAGAGAAATAAAATTTCATGACAACTCTGCCTTAGTTCCTGGTTAAAATAAATTAAGGTTATAATTTCATTCACAGAAAACGAAAACAATCTACAAGGACGTTGAAAGGAGTCATTTGTGCCATTAATTATTCATTTATTTAATTACTTATCGTTGCTTCTTTTAATCAACCATAAAACTTTTATTTATAGCCTTTACCAAAACGAAACCTTTCCAATTTACATCTTGTTCCTTCCAATAAAGTCAAAAAAATTCTTCTTTTTTTCAGACAGCAATTTGAGAGTTTTCTTTTTCGCACCACTTCATTTTCCCCGAAGGCTACATCCTTACTCTCATTTTCTTCACACAATGAGACTTGTTCGGACAATTTTCGATTGGAAAATTGAAAAATAAAAACCTTTAACAACAAAATGAAATTTCATACCCAAATCAATTTGTTAATCAATTTCGTTTAATTTGTTAAAGCTACCGCAAATGAATGTAAAGGTTTTCTAAGATTAGTTAAGAATTTGATCGATTCAGCTTTTGGGTACGAAAGGGAAAGTTCTTCTGGGAAAAAAAATAGTTGATTTTGAATTCTTTTGTGAATAGGATTAGCTATTGAATTTGAGGGATAATAGATGGAAGGGTCTTTGACGTCAGTGTGGTAGCCAGGAATTTGTTTTGTGAAAAATCATCTCATTTTCATCAACAAAAAATAATGATTTAAAATTACTAGGATCCTTGACTATGCCATTCCAGAAACTCAATTTAAAATCACATTAAAAACTTCTTTACACTAGAAAAACTTGAAATTAATGAAATTAATTGAATTTAATAGCTTCTTCTGCTTAACAATGTTATTTATACAGCTAATCTTTTAATTTCCTTCCATTCTCATTAAAGTTAAATATCAAGAACATTTCCATCTCTTTTTATTTTGCTCATTAATCTTCTTGTTGTGACCTTTTGTTATCACTTTCTTCTTGCTCTTACTGTGAACGTTGAACTTTGCCTCATGTTTGAGAATTAAGAGATTTTTTTGATTAAGCCTTTTAATTATTGTGAAGAGTCTTTGATCTTAACGTTCTATTGTGATTTATCTGGGGCAACAACAGTCAACTTTTTGACTTTATATAATCGTTATGGGGTTGTCATGGCATCTCCAGGTCAATGAAGCATTGGTTCATGTTCTTAGTTGTGTAGTTTTTGCATAAATTATGTGAAAAATGTTTCAAAAGCTACAGCAACAGTAAATTAATACAAAAATACTTTTATAAAATTCTACACTTCCTTTCACATCACAAACCATGTACATCTTACCGCTATCCACTAAATGACCATCCAAACTTGAATTTACTAAAGAATTCCAATCAACAAACCTCACAAAAAATAGCCACAAAACTTTTTCTCATCAAAATCAACTTTTTTTTATATTCTTGATCAGAAATTTATGTCCATAGAAGAGGAAGGACATAAAAGTTTCAATGCTTGTGGCATAAAATCACCACACATCGACAACACATAGATTAAAGCTGACAAAAAGCTACAAAAAAATTCACATAATCCAAACATTTGACATTTATTGAAATTTTCCCTCCCTCCGTCCTAGATCTGAATAAGTCACAGTCATTTCGCATTCCACGACAAAATTTTCATTCCTGCTTTGGTGTAAAAAATGTCGCATTCTTTTTTTTTCGACACACAATTGAGAGGCTCCGATATTAAAAAGTTATTGCATTCCTGTTAGCATTTTGCTTTATGGAAACGAGGGATGAAATTTGCTGTGAATGAATGAAAAAATATTGAGAGGGAAATTAAAAATATTGGATGCTGGAAGGTGATGGATGGTTGTGAACTTCCATGCTGATTTGGTGTTTTACTAGTTATAACTGTTTTAGTCATTTTGTTCTAAGGGTTTGTCATGACTTTGACTGGAGATGGGCTGGAAAATGAATGAAGCTCAAATTGATTCACGAGCTTAGGTCCATCAACTGTTAACAATTGCATATCTCGTAGCTCATAAATGAAACCTAAGATTTAAGGCCACCAACACTACACACAATCGAAAAAAGTTCTGTCTAAGCTTTAGAACCAAGTTCTTTTTAATTTTGATTAAATGCTTGCCTCCTTTCAGCGTGGAACAGTGAACATACACTGATTGACAGACGACAGGAAGCATTGCAAATTAAAATAAAGCATTAGGGAATTTCCATGGATGTATGTTCCCTGAAAAATATCAAAATAAAGTTTTTCTCCTAAAATTACCTTAAAGAAATCATCCAAATCATTTGGAAAATTCATCAAAAATCTATCAGAATTGGCATCAAGACATGCCAAATCAAAATTCTCATTGATATTTGATTTCCTTTAAAAGATGATGCGGAAAACTTGTGATATCGACAGAATGTTCCACACGCTAATCTTTCCCTTCAGATACCTAAAGGGAATTAAATCGAATAAAGACAATGAAACAGCTACATGATATGCTTTGCAAAAGTAAATTTTTTTTTCTTATTTCTTTTTTACAGAAATATTTACAGCACGCCACAGATTTTTTTTACATAATACAATACAATTTATATTTTTTCAGGCATTTAGAGAGTTCGGCGAACTACATAAATTTATCATTTCTTTACTATGGGAATTGTTTGCTGTCTGATATCTCACATGAAACGTTTTTTGTACATACTTCCGCATGTGCTGATGTGTGGAAGAATTTTCATTTGTACCAATAATAATAAAAGATCTTGTGAGGATATACATACTTTTCATAAATGCATGACATGATGGTATCTTTGAATTGAATATGATTTATTATAAGGAACAAGTAGAAAAGCTTATAGAAATATAATCTTATAAGTAAGTTATGAAACTTTTCTTAAATTTTAAAAATTATTTACAGAGTTTTTTGAATGGAGATAAAAATGGCTAAATGACGATTCATCTAGATAGGACAAGTAGGATAACGTGAACGTAAGTGCCAAACATGTTAATTAAGGAGCCCTCACTCTGAATAATTTTTTTGTTTCAGAAATATCCAATTTTATTCAAATCGAGGACCCCCTCTAAGTTCAATGTTTTCTATAGAAAGCCATTCAATTTCATAAAATAAATTTTTTTATCTCCCTTACAATCTAAAATATCTATCACTATCATGTACATCAAATTAATTTGGCTTTCAGCTTCGCATTCACATGTCTGACTTTTTGAAAATTACAATTCGCGATTAAAATTTCGAAATGTCACAGCTAATTGGGCACCTCACTTTATAGTAAAAGAAGACTGTACAAATATTTATTTTAGATTTAAAAGTTTTTTTTTTTTTGTAAAGTGATGCCGTTGATTAGTTGTAGGGGATTTTTTTTAGGCTTTTCGAAAGTTGCCTTGTGATTCAGCGTCAGTCTGTTTATCTTAAAGTAAATCTATTAATACTCTTGTTTACAATATTTGATTGTTGTCTTGGGATGATGTAAACAAGAATATCAAGTTGGAGTTATTTAACTTTTTGTTGATCTTTAAAAATAATTCTCAAGGGTCAAAGAAACAATTTTTTGTTGATTTACGTTGCAAAAAAATGAGGATGCAATAAAAATATTCAAAATAGAATTCCAGGGAATTTCTAGTCTAGTAAATTGATTTCATATTGACCTGTGCATCAAACAAGCTCAACAGATGTTGTTGCTTTAAAATGTGCTTATCAATTGGGTTTGTTTGGTAGGGAAATAAATAACAAAATGTCCGAGAGTTCACAAGAATGTTTTGGTCATTTCAAAGTGATTGATTTAGTAGTTTATGGATTTCATAAGGTTTTGTGGACATTCCAAGACTTTTGAACTTAATGTTAAGTTTGGAAAAATGCTCCAGAACGTTTGAGAAATTGTATTCGTCAGCTTGAGCTTCGTTGCATACTGTACAGTCTAGATTCATGAAGTTTAGGACAAGACTAGACCGAGCAAGCTTAATCAACTATAGTGACAATAGTGCAGAACTGATTAATTGTTTTTTTGATAATAACTTATCGCTTTCGATCTAATTTTCCATCAAAATTAAAATCTAAGGATTACAATACAGTTTGTGTTTTGAAAAAATATCATAAAATTCAAAAAAAGCTTGTCTAGCACTTGACAATTTATATAAAAAATTTAAAATCAGTTCCCAAATTCACTGAAACCAATTTCTTTTCAGAAAAGTCTAAGTTCCCATTTTTAACGGATCCTCCTTAACGAATCTGGATTTACCACAAAAAACTATCAACAAAATGCTTTTAAAAAATCCACAAAACTTTGAGAAGTTCTAAGAATTTCCCAAAATTTTCCCAGTCATTCAACAGCATCACCACAAAAAAAAATAACCCAATATAGTTTTCAACATTCAAAGCCCTTAAAGTTATGTAAATTTATACAATTATTATTATTCTATGTACACGTATGTCAGCAGCATCGCTACTGATTCTATAATATATTCCTAGTATCAACAATTAACATAAAAAAAATATACAATCTATCAGGTTATTGATGTGCGCAGTAATATCTCTTGCAATATGTACAGTCAGAGATTATTATGTCAATTTTTAAAATTATTTACAGCATAAATTTTAATTTTTTGTAGGTTGTTCAGATGTGGTGTCTAATATTTCTTTAGGATGGAAGATTTGAAGAGTCTTTAAAGTCTCGTTCCCGCCAAAAATATCAACCATCACAAATGAACAAACCTGAGAGATTAATAGAGATGATTACACTGGATTTAACTTCTAAAGTTCACTTATGAGGCCTAAGAAAAGTTCTGAGATTAAAAGGCTGCTCTAAGAACCTTTTTTATCGTCATAAACAAACGACCTTACTTTAAAATCACCATTTAAATCCACAAAAATCATCCCATAAAGCTCATTGCACTCTAAAATCTTAAATTCTTCAAAACTAGCCTCAAAATCAACTAATTAAAGTTTCCAGGAAATATAATAGCTTCTGACATATTGACATTTGTCTTTTTCGTTGTGTCTTTTTCAGATCCACCTCCAAACCTATTCTGACTTGATCGATGACCAGACGTATACATACATTTACAGCATGATGGAAATTGAAAGTTTTCTCTAATTGGTTGATTTGTATTAATATCTATGGCAATTAACTGCCTATATGCGTAAGATTGTTTGCATCTTGTCTGAACGCTGAGTGGGAAATGATGATGGAACATGCATGGTTGAGTTTCGTCCCTAAAAGTTTGAGTAAACATTAGTCAATGCTCCATTGGAAAATTGGAATTAAGTTTTACTTACTCGCACTCCTCAATCACAATTCCTTGTCGATATTTGTCATCATCGTTATTAATGATTGGCAACCAAGATCCATTTGGAGTCTTGCCTAATTTTGGAAATATTGTCCTTCTTTTACTCGTGCACAAGCCTTGTTCATCAGAATCAAATCTAAGTCCTAATGTCTCCTCATATTCATTACCAAAGAAAAGCTCAAATTTGTCCAAATTTAAATTTTTTATTAAGGATTTTGGGTAGCTAGGATAGTCTTCCATGAATGTTTTAGTTAAAGATGGTTCTACCTTTCTAGAGCGAACTGGCTGAAATTAGAGAATTGAATAAGTTTATAAGTTGAATTTTAAAAAAGTTAAGCAGTGGCGTAGCAAGTGTTTTTTTGGTGCACGGAGTCAAGTCATGAGATTTCAAATTAGAATTCGATGATCTAAACTGTGGCTTTATCCTTGCTATGCCACTTGACTATCCCTAAAATCATGAAACTCACAGAATATCTGTTGTTATAACTTGCCGGATTCGCCGTGAGCTGCAAAGATAGGAATTCGTAAGAATTTTTTTTTGTTTAGCAAAGACATATTTTTTTGGAAGTAAAATAAATATTTTTAGTGCTCAAATGTCTTTTTAGAATCAACAAGGAATTCAGCTCAAAACTCAAACATTCCATAAAGATCGAATATTTTCTGTTCGCTGAAGAATGACGATGTGGACTATATGAAAAATGTTGAGTATGATAAGGATGAATCGATGCGGAAAAATTTATTGAATCATCGACTCCAAAAATAATATTTTAAGTCAATATTTTGAGTCAAAGATATGTTTTTATAGCTTGGAATAAATTTTTGACGATTTGATGTCATTTGTTTTGTATTGGCAAATATTAGATATAAAGTGAGTGATATGGAAGATTTTAATCGTTGGGATGACTCGTGACTTTAAAGTTCGTGACTAATAAAATGCCTGGTTGGTTTCCAGTGCCACATTCACTTCTCATACCTTTTGTAGGGAGGCAGACCCTAGTAGACCTCCTTAGATCTTTCGAGATATGCCCCTGTCTCAAAGAATAATCAGACAAACTCTCTGTTCTCATTATATTACGCAAATGATGTGACAAGTTTCGATTAATGCATGAATATCATGCCGGTAGTGTCAAACAAGGCGTGGAAACTATCCCAAATATCCCATTTATCCCATATATTACAAAAATATTCAAAATAATTTCTGAGCCTGTATGCATTAGAATTGAGATATCCTGAAATTACACGTCCAGTACACTAAGGATATGTTGGGATATCTTTATTGTCGTGCATAAGTGCTCAGGAATTTTTTGAATATTTTTGGGATATGTGGGATAAATATGATATTTGGGATAGTTTCCACGCCTTGGTGTCAAATGACTTGAATAAAATCATTATATCAATACGTAATAAAAATAGAATTCTAATTCAAGAGTGATAATGTATTAATATAAACAAAACCGGCATCATGCAGTTCGTGAATCAAAAGACAATGATTTTATTCCTCATACAGCTTGTTCCTGTACATCTTGACATGTTTATATTTGTAGTCATATCGCAATCTTTCGCTCGAAGTCAAACAATTATTGATAATATATTGTATAAAGAGACAAGCTTATTATTGGACAAACAAATACTTTACTTGATGTCGAGGTCTTTTAGTAAGTTCTGAGAATTTAGTATTATGAAGATCATGGCATACGATTGTAAGTTGAATAAGCAACAGTGTTTAATGTTGCGTGAAATTAGGAGTGTACCAAGGGTTATCATTTCTGATTGACCCTAACATTAAAAGCTACTCATTTTAACTCGTTCAATAAAATAATTTATTTCAGTGCTCAAAAAAATGAAAATTCTGATAAGAAATTTAAAAAAATTCAAATTGTTTTGCTTATTAAGTTCTTATTCGTCACATGCAGTCTCATTATAACATTGATGTGGGTCAGACGTTTATTTATAAATTAATTTTTATCTTTGTAGAATTTAAAGCAGTAACAAATTAAGATTGAATAGCATTTTCTAAATTAACTTGAAGAATTGAACAAATTTGTTGCAAATATTAAGTCAAATTGTCACAAAATCTCAAAACATCTCCAATAAAAATCCAAAGTCGCATTTTCATCACAAGTTCAAAGTCATCTTCTCATATCTTCTCATATTTTTCAATTACAAGTAACTGTTCACAAATTTTGAGATCTAAGCTGCTTAGAATATTCAACATCTTGACTCATCTTCACACCAAATAAACACTTGATTCAACCTTGAAAAAAAAATCTTTTTTTTTTCTGTTTGTGAGCACGAAAAATTCCCAACTTACTTCATTAATAAGTAGCAACAGCCACGGAAATGTAATAAACTTCATGATTATTTTCTTATTTTTTTAAAAGTTTCACTTTTTTCTTGTTTTTATTTTTATTTTATTTCACTTTCAATTTTTAAAAAAAGTTTTCGCAACAAGTTGAATTGTCAAATTGAATTGAGAACTTTTCATAATTTTACTTCCATTTTATATGAATCCAAAATAATTGGAAATATTTGGTCAGAATTTTTGTTCATCACTGTTCAAAATACAAAACAATACTAAGCATGAGATTTTTTTAAGTTTACTAGCGATAAACAACATACAGAGACAAAAAAATTGAGATGATCAGTTTAAGTTGTGTTAGTTGAAGCCACAAGGTGACCATAAAATCTCATAACTGAGCACTTGAGCTCACACGATCGTGCAAAAATGAACAAATACATTCAAGTCTCCAGCTACCTGAATGCACCTGTTTTATTAGTGAGTAAGACAATAAAAAAAATTGAGAGACAGAGAGAGGAAGTTAGTGTCTAGGTGCATGATAATAAAATCGTAATAATAAGTGATAGCCACTTGAGTGGGTGTTTATGATTGTTATTCTAGAATAGGATTTTTTTTTGGTGACCTGAATTTGAAGTCGTACTTCTTGTGACATTTCTTGTAAATTTTTATAAATGAAGCCGGGCTGGAAAAATCCCCAAAATTTGTGAATTAGTTAAAATTTGTTTATATTTTTTGAGGGGATTTTTCAGAACGTCCATGAATGGATAATATCAAAGAGGTGTGTTAAAGCATGTGTCCGAAAGTTTATAGTTTATTGACAATTTTTGGCAACTGAGTCTTGCAAAAGCTTTAGAACTAGGAAATATCACTTAATGCTCTTAAAGGTTTAGGGCTCTAACCTGACCAGATTAAATTGTTATTCCAATTATGCTTTCTCGAAATCCCGGTCCCGACAAATTTTCGGGATCGGGATCGGGATTGAAATTTTTCGGGATTTCCCGGGAAATCCCGGGAATCCCGAATATGTAAAAAAATTTAAAAAACAGCATTTTTCTGCTTTTTTTCCCAAAAAAAATTATATATTTTTTTGCTACTTATACGGTCATTTATTCCTTAATTAATTAGTTATACTTTATGTGTTACAAGGTAGATGTTTTAATCCATGTTTCCTTTGAAAAATGTGAACATAAACAAAAATAGAAAATAAATGTTGATAAAGACATTTTTGTTTTGTAAGAATGTTGTTACTAATAGAGAAATTTCGTTCGCTTTGAGTTGAGGTCGGCTGCATTGTTATCAATTCATCGTAAAGTTGATCTAATAAAACGGTTCTCTTCTTAATTTTGTCATACCAATTAAACTCTCTTTTCAAGTTATTTGGTTCTGTTGCTGCTGCATCTGTTGTTAATGATGTATATTCAAATATGCTGATTTCAGTCTATCTCGAATAGAAATGTTTGACGGTTGGATTTGATTTGCACTGGATGTTGAAGCTTCCATAGCTCCATTTGTAGAGTTTTTGACAAAATACTTCTTCAATAAGTCAATGCCAAGTTTATGTATTGCAGCTTTTGTTGACGATTTAAAATGCTTGTCTAAAGAAATATATTGAGGATTATTCAGGTAAAGTATTAAGTCAATTAATGTTCCATTTCTTCGTGCACCTATGCGAGCGCAATTCATATCGTAAACCTTTTGAGACAATAATGTTCCTTGTAGCGACAATTCGTCTAGCAAAAAGTTAATTGTTTCTTCAGCAATTAATAAATCGTTTGATTTACGCAATAATTCTTCTGTCGCGTATTTAGCAGGTTCTAAAACATCAATAATTTCCTAAACTAAAAAACCGGGATTTTCAATCCCGATCCCGATAAATTTCGGGATCCCGGGATTGATCGGGATCGGTAAATCCCGGGAAATCCCGATCCCGATCCCGATAGCGAGAAAGCATAATTCCAATCAATGATCGTCACACGGTACAATAGATTCTATCATCGATCAGGATCGCAGTGCCTTCAGCACATCGCAACATGTAGTAACACATCACTTGGCTGGAACCCTCTCACATTAATGATCATCATCCACAACAGAACAAAAGCAATAACATTTTTAGCATCAAGAAGTCAAAGTAATCAAAATATGCACTCCCTTTGCTCAGACGTGTGTCCGAATATCAAATGGAACAGCAACACGTTGATTAATAAATAATAAAAATAATATTCTACACATGCATGGCACTATGAAATACTTTATTATTTTATTTAAATTGAGTTATTCAAGAAGAAAATCTTAATGCGTTGTGTCTGATAATACTTTAGTAACAATAATCAGCATTAATATGATGAAATTCATTGTTATCAAGAGCACAGACAATTTAACAATTAGCCGGTTAATTTACAATTATGATAACAAAGATTGAAAGAAGTCAGAAGCATCAATATGAATAAATTGAAAAGGAAATAACCTTTTGCCTTGTTGACAAAATATAATACATCCAAAATCGACTCAATCTAAGTGCATCATGAATTTTTGACAAATAATTGGAAGTGATGACCTGAGTGACATTAATGAACTGTTCTGATCATATTATCAGCGTATATTCGAGTTAATTCAATATTGTACTGATAATATAAGTTTTTTTTTGGAAAATATTTGACTTAAGTAAAACAACATTGAAGTTTGAAATAAATAAGGAATTTTAAGCTGTTATACATGCTTCATTAAATCAGTGACTTTGAACCGGGAGAATAACAAATTGTTCAATTTTATATGACAATATCTAAAGGTCTATTTCCACTTGGGCAATTGAAACTAAAAAGGAGCTTAGAACTTTTTCAATTTAGATGAAGATCCTCAGTGTTTGAAAGAAAGCTTATCGTGTCAATAGTACCTTTATCTGCTTTGGTACGGCTCAAGAGATATCTATTGATGGTAATGCTGTCCCATCGTTGGATCATTTCCTGCCAAGAGCTAGAAAAGCTTTGATGTTGTTAAAACCTAAATTGGTCACTTTTGAGAAAGTTTTAATTCCAAACAACCTCAAAATTACACAATTCAAGTCCATTTGCACGATGTTGAGTTCAAATGATATAATCAGCACGACATAATTTCTTTGAACTTTCAATGAATTATTCTCAAATCATCCATTGTGTCACCCATCCACGTTTGTCTTTTATCTCAACAAATATTCTGTCAATAATCGTCAACATCAAATGTGATTGACAAAAAACCTTAACCCATTTCAATCTTTAATACATGAAATTGGGTTACAATTGTTCATCCATATCAGCATGATGTCAGGAATAAACACACTTTTCCATGGTCTCGCTCTTTTATTTATTTTCACATCAATGATTTCATCTGTTTCACACGCTTTGCATATCATGTGAGACTTATAGAATGAAACTCGTGAAGTGTGATGTGTGTTCGATTGATTTTGTTTGATGACTCCATATGGGTGTTTAAGAAGATAAAAGGCTTACAGAAGATTATTGTCATGTGCAGAATTGGGGTCATTTACTTATGAGGTCTATCATTTGGGGGGGGGGGGGGGTACTTGATGTACAGCTCCTTTAAAAATTTAAAATTTCAGAACTGTTGATTCTAAAAGTTACAAGTCTATGCTAGCTATTGTAGATTAAAGGATCACAAATCATGCTCACTGTACTAATAAATCAGTTCATGTTTTGTGCTTCAACGTTGAATGAGACAATAAAAAATTAAATTTTTTCCAATAAACACCATTTAAGATTGAACCTTTATCCTAGTAAAAAATTAAAAAAGTGTGCATTCTGACGTTTCTCATAATTTTTCAAAACATTTCTTTTTTTATTCAAGTCACAAGATCTCTCACCTTCTTGAATATCTAAAGAATGTGCAGATATTAACTTAAATCCTCCTAAGCATGTGTTGTGTGTCAATCTTTATTGATCTTTGACTTCTTTGTGTCTTACTCATCGCCTCATTTGCATAAACACATTAAGGTGCTAAATATACAGTAAAATATTTATCGGGGGAATCCCGAGGAATTGAATTCTGGTTTGCGAAGATGTTTTTCAAAAAATTTTAATTTTTTGTATTTTTTCTGGATTTAAAGTTAGCTTTTTATGCAGTCAACACTTTTTTATTTGAGTTGATCACGAGGTTTGGTTGCTATAAAAAGAAATTTCAGTCATGTGAAGGATGTGGCTAATAAATTTGAAAAAAATTGAATTTTGTTATTTCTTAAAAGTATCACAATTGATCCGTACTTCAAAAAACATGTATAAAAGTATTACAAAATAAATTGTATTATTTTCATAATTTATAAAACTGGTCCTTAAAATGAAGTTTTTGATGAAATTGGAATAGAACATTATCCAAAAAATAATGTGATATCTTAAGATTCAAGCCAGAGGTCCGTGGTGAAGCTCAAAACAAACCGGAAATCAATAAATTTCACAAACACGTCAATTAAGTCAAGCAATTGCAGACTAAGACAAATAAATGCAAGCATTCCTTACAATTAATCTTGACATCCGTTAACATGCCATATTTAAAGAATAAAAATCCAAAGGTCTAGACAGAATCAATTTCAAATTGTAGATCCAACCTTCACCAAAATAAATCGACAAATTTTCCAAAAAACAGTAAACAATTCTGTGAAAAGTTTGTCCAAAAAGCAATTAATGTGAAAAATTTTCAGCATTTATCAATTTAATTCGATTCGATCCCAAACGATGTTGACTTTTATTCACATTTGATGACAAATTAAGGTGCTGTGAGGATAAGAATTTAATAACTGTAGAGTTTGACAGCACATAAATTGATTGTCAGGGTTAAAGTTCATTTATTTTATTGTATATCCAACTCAAAAGCTCGACTTTTCTTATGGAATAAAGTGTTAAGAATTTAATTGAAGACATTAAAGATTATCCGTTAAATGTCGATGATGTAAGTTACACAATATGCTGAGTGTCATGTTTTGCATCGTTATTGGAATTCCAATAAGCATAGACAGTAAATTTTAAATTTTATTATTCCAATATAAGTTTTATCGACAGCAAAAATATGTTAAAAGACTGCATCCTGTCGATGAAATGCTGTACAGTTGATGATGCTTTAGTAGAGGGGCCACAGATCCTAGTGTTGTTTTACGCTTCAAAGTAACATGTCTAAAGATCTATCTCCAATCAAACATTCCACATATCAAAGTTCTACATGAATAAATTTTATGCACAGTCGTGCAAAAAAATAATTAAAGCCATGCATACGACGTAACATTATTGTCAAGGTCTTGAGAATCTGAATTAATATGGCGAACCTTCTCGAACTTTCTGGCATGACTGGTTCAATTACTTCTAGAACTCTCTATGGTGAAATGTGATATTATCAAGCTAATTATTAATTTTTGTTTGTTTTTCAGGGGTTCATTCATAAATTTTGGTCAAGAAAAATTTGATTTTATTTATATTTGAATGCTTCAGATATTGCTGCTCAAAATGTAACAGATAAACTGCATAGGCATCTAGTGATAGAGCATTTCAGACATTCTTCTTGGGAGTGTTCCTAGAATTTGTTAGAATTTCACAAAAATGAGAAATTGTGGCCCTCGAAAACATCTGTAATCAACTTGATCCCCACGTGACATTTATAAATAACTCATTTAATGTTAGACAAACATTCAATCATGCATAATACATTCAAAATTAAGGCATAAGTCATCAGCAGAATCAAGATAATATGGCAAATATCAAATTAATCAAAAGGGACATTTGTATGGCATCACGTCTCATTCAATCACAAAAAAATAATGCTTATGTTAAAAGAAGCCCACTTGATGCTTATTAAATCTCTTTGAAGCAACAAACTCATTATTTTTTAAATCACAAAGGATGTTTTAGCTTACCTGCTTATGAAATATTAGATAATGATGATGGTGAGGTAAAGACAAGCGCCTCTCAAAGGAGAAAAAATGTAAATTATGGTTAAGTGCCAAAAATTATGATCCTTTAGTCACTCGAAACTTCTTGAGCACGTGCCTTAAATGTGATAAAAAGAGATGGAGAAACATGAAGAGATGACATGGATGGGGGATGAGAAGCATGAGTAAAATTGGTGAAAGAGTCAAGAGTTGGACCAAGGGGATAACAACATGAGGAGGATAAAATTTTGGTTCCACATTCCAAGAAAAAAGGTTCCCTTGAATGGGACAAAATGAAAACTATATTAAAAAGTTTAAAAATGCCTAAGAACACCCCCCCCCCCCCCCCTTGACTTCCCCCATCCATTCCTTGATTTTGAAAAATTTTGTTAAATTTTCACTACAGTTACCATCCCCTGGCCATCAAACCTTAATAATCATTACATAATCCACAAAGTAAGCAGCACAAAAATTTACGATAAGCACTCAAAGAGATCAAGAAGATGTTTCAAGTGGTTTTTGGAACCAAAATGGATTTACAGCTTACAATAATCGTACTTTTACTCATAAATATTGCAGATTAATGACTTAACATTTAGCATTAGGTAAGAATTTGTCATAATTACGTTTATTGTCTCTTCTACCTGTTTGTCAACTGTTATTAATTATTAATGCCTTCTTTTCATCTCTTAAGCTTCGGCAAATTTGTTTATGCTACTTGTTGAATTCCAAAATTGTTTCTCTTGGAATTGAAACGTGGAATTTCCTAAGAAATTTTTCATTTACTTCTTTTTTCGTACAAATATTTGTGTTTACTCTTTTGAGTTGATAAATGCTTATTACAGGCTATAGAATTATTGACTCTGAATGAATATGGAATTGCTTTGGAAGTTGTTTGGCAAAATATTACGCAAAATAAGAGATTTTGGACAGTGTTGCTGATTCAGAAATAGAATAAGCACATTATTGAATATTTTGAACTTGGTAGCTACGGAATTTCATTTTGGGGTCATCAGACGGAAGAGATGAATATTTGAATATTTTTGATGGCAAGGTCATGTTCATCTCGAATCAGTGACTATGTTTCTACGTGAGTGAAATGAAAAAAACAGTTCAACATTTTTTTCTGAGAATTTTACGTCTACACCTTGAATTTTTTTACAGTTACTTAGCGGAATTCTTTTTTATTCTATCTTGGATTGAGAATTACAATTATATTCGTGAAGTTTGAAGATAAGGATGTAGAAATACCAAACAGCTCAAAAATTTTATGATTTTAATAAAATGGAGTTTCCTTACCTTTATTTTATCAATTTCAATCATACTCAATACTTTATGCATCAAATCATCATCCAGAAATGCAAACATACTCGATAATCCAAACAAATCACTAAAACATCCTTCAACTAAGTGAAATTCAATCACTATCAAGTACGATATTCTACGACTATTGCTATTGCTATTGTGATGAACTCACGTTTGACGAATGCAAAAAAAAAAGACCAATAAACTTTATTGTCAGTTCAGTGCCTTTTTGATGACTCTCGTAAAATTCTGCTGAGTATTGTGATTATTTTTGTCACATGCTATCCTCATCACAATGAAGAAAAAAATATAAAAGTCTTAAAAGATTCGTCCATTTAGGATGATTTTAATGCAGAACAAAAGACTCAGTGAACTTTCTATTCTTGATTAAAAATGTGTTAATGGCTTAACACAAAAGGATTTGATGCTTTTATTGTAAGGAACATAGAGTTTGGTTCATTGTTTGGTGGAATTCTGAATGAAAGTTTATCAACCTTAAAGTATGAAAACAATGAAAAAGGACTGTTTGATTGGGAGTTTTATGAAAAATGCAAAAGTTATGTAAAATGCAAAGTGAAAAAAACTTAAGAATTTTAATTTACAATCAAGAACCTTAAAGAACAAAAGATTTCGCTAAAATAAAAAACCTGTAAATTATTATTTTGTACTTTTTGAAACACATTTGTGTTATATTTGTTAAAAATGTTTTCTTTTCAAAACCAACTTAGCATTAAGTACCATACAAGTGTTTCGAATGCAGTAATTGAGCTTTTATATGAATTTTTTGAGGAAAGGTTTAAATACTTTTTTAATTTTACTAATTTTTCTTTGTTTTGATAAATTTGATTTTGCCTATTTCTACCACCTTTATGCACTAGGTCTGACCACTAACCTGAGCCTCATCTTCGTAAAAGTTCATATTTTTCCCAATTGATTTTCAGATTGTTTAAGTTTGTTCAAACTTTAATTCTCAAAAATATTTTGAGCAACTATATCAGGTACTGTCAGTTATACAATAACTAGGTTTGAGAATTAAATTCTGAATCTTATAGAAAATTGTATAAAAATATCAAATAAGTTCAATTAATTATTCAGTATCAACATAAAAATCTACAGTGACCAACAGTTACGTCAATCAAAAATCTAAGAATCAACATGGATAAAACATTCAAAGGAGATCCATTGGAATATTTCCCATACGAAATATCTGAAAAAATCTTGTTATATTTACCAGTAAAGAACTTAATGAGAGTATCAGCAGTTAATTCATTGTGGTATGACTTCATTGGACAATCAAAGAATTTGATGAAAAATGTCAAGGTTAAGATGCAAAGAAAAGCTATCAACCCAACATTAACAAGTACAAGGAACTACGAAACATTAGAAATTAATAATATGGATGGCTGTATGGACGCAATATATGAGCAGTTAAAATCACGTAAATGGAGCAACATAATTATCAATGATATGACATTTCTGACAACGGAACAAGCAGTTAAGCTGTTCTCATTAATTCAAGAAAGTGTCAAATCTTTAGATATTCGGGACTGTTTTCTATACTCAAATATTGTTAACAAGAATCATGGCTTAATGTTTCCAAATTTAAAGATATTCTCAGCAACAACCACAGAATATTCATTCAAACTTATTGAATTGTTTCAAAATGTTCGGCACTTGACACAATTTGACTTAATCTCGAATGGACTAAGCGTAGCTGGTTTTATTACAGCCAATAACATCCTTAATACAAATGAGAAATTGGAGATTTTAAGTATTTCAAATACACTTTTTAATCCACTATTTATTGAAAAAATCACAATTCCATCCAAGATTAAGAAATTGTCACTTTTACATGATAGTTATCATGAAGACGGTTACTATGATAAATATTATACAAATCTCATTTCATTGCTACATCAGCATTCTGATAGTTTGGAGACTATTATAATTGATGAGCATGTGAATGAAGATGTCGTTAAAGTAATCTTTAAATTACCAAAGCTCAAACATTTAAAAATCACAGGATTTACAAAACCAGATGTAATGGACGTCTGCAATGACTTGAAACTAACCAGAAACACATCTATTGAGGAACTTGACATCTTAGTGGGACCTAAAAGCTATAAAATAATCAAGACAATGATTGTTGCTGCACCAAATTTAAATTCTCTGTCGGTTTTATTCATTAATTCCAAAACTTTGAAGTTCATCAGTCAAAACTCACCAAACCTTAGAAAACTATCAATTGAGTACCTTAACATCGCATACTTACCACGAGATGATGCTTTCAAGAATCTCGAACATTTGGATGTTCAGAATTACAAGCCATCATTAAGAAAAAATCTCCTTAGAAAAAACTTTTATGCTTTAAGTCATTTTGAAAAGTTGATGTTCCTCATTCTGATTCGCCAAAAATTTGTACATATTTAAAAAATTGACTTTTAATAAAAAAAAATGATTTTGCTTTAAAAAAATACATCATTGCTGTTTATATTCTTACTTAAAGCTAAGCATACACAAAATTCGAATTCAATTACATCGAAATACATCGCATTTTCCATTACAGCATCGAATTTTTCCCTTCCAATAATCTGAGATAGACTCACGTCTACTTCTATTATAGTTCGTAGAACTTAAAGTGTTTGAACAGCACTTCCAAAAAAACAAAACAAATCACTCAGCTGAAAATGAGTTAAGTAACTGAATATTGGCATCTATTGATTTATATTACTAGATATGCTTGCTCATATCCATTTCCAACATTCATTCTCACGTAATTTTCAAGCTTTTTTAAGCTGGAATAAAATATTCGACCGAACAACAACAGCGAATTTATCAAAAAGGTCAGCCTTTGAAGTCAAGATGAATTCGTAGAAATTTTCGAGGGAATAAACAAGAGTCTAGGAATTCACAGTCCGTAACTTTTTTCATTTTAATTCATAATTCTGAGAAGCGATGTTCTTGTGTCTGCTGTCGACGATTCATTACTCTGCCGGTATTTTAGACCTTAAAGTTAAAAAATTTCAACAAGATGGAAAATGACGAGAAAAATTCCAAGAAGGAAAGGAGTTAAATTACCATGATTTTCCTTAAAAATTCGGAGTAAATAAATAAAGCTTGTGATTCCTTAAAATCAAATTAGGCAATTTTAAATCCTTCCGAGAACTTTTAACTCCTTCCAATATTTTAAATAATAAATTCAACTCACGATTTTCAATCCAATTTAATTTTGCTAAACGACCAGTGCTTCTGACAGTTCTTCTTTCTTGGAATCAGTCCTTAAAATTTGTTAATTAAATTTTATAGAAAATTGAATTAATTTCTATTCATCCAGCCCATTTCAGATCTCGATTCTCTTTTAAATCCAATTTAATTTACATGAAAACGCCTTTTTAATTAAACTTTTTTTTTCTTCATTTTTGTGTCTCTAATTTTGACTGGATTTATGCAACCATGCATACTTATCAGAGATGAAAAACATAGTTTGTGGATCTTGAAAATATATTTTCATTGTTGGTAACAAAAACATGTCGCGAAATTAATTGTAATTTATGTCTAGAGAATTATATTGAAGAAGATTAAGCATTAATTGAAGGAAATGCTTTCGATTTAGGTTCATATTGTGACTTTTTAGTAAGTTTATTCAGAACTATTAGGAAAGATTGTCTGTATAGCAAGTAAGTGGCCTTATTAAAGTCTTTTTTGATGACATTTAACACTTAATAAACTTAAAGTCAACAATAAACCTTAACATCTTGACAAAACATCAGCTATATCTCATAATTACCAGAGAATCCTCAACAGCAGTATAAATATTCATGAGATATCCGATATTAAATTAATTAATTATTCATTAAAAACAAAAAGAAAATCTTTAAAGAAGAAATTATGCTGAATTGAATTAGCTTTTTTTTACTTTCACTGAAGATGGACAAAAAGCTAGAGTGACAAAACCATTTAGATTCATTGCACTGGCAATATATTTGTGTCATAGTTATAATTTTATGTTATCCAGCTGTTTAACTTTTAAGTTCTTATTTATTTGCACAAAAAAGCAAAATTCATAGAACTTAGAATTGATGTTGTTCAACTTTTGGAGATTATATTATCACAATTACCCATAATCAGTAAATTCGGTTAAAATTCCTAATTATTAGAAACATAATTAGTTCCATCGAAAGTATCGAATGTCCATGAAACAGAGTATTACTTTTATAAAATATATCAACAGCTTTTAATGTAATTTGACACATTATTGTCTGCTATGGACTTTAGCTAACTGAAGGATATTTGAAATGTGATATTTTATAGAATTTTCATACATTTAATGACTGACATTATGTTCTACCTACTACATAATTTATTCAGAATTATCTACAACGTAATACTTTGTTGTAACGTAAAATATAAAGTGTAGGTTGATGATTTCTATGGTGATTTATGGATTTTGTGTTAATGATGATCTTTATTGATGCTTATGGCTTAAAAGTTATATTTAGGGCAAAATTTCTGTCAATTTTGCAACATCCGAGCAAGTCTCAATAAAAGAATTCAAATTTCAATTTAAATTTGCATTCATCGGAAGCATCATCAATAAAATAATTTTTTTAAAATTGTCTGCTTTCCTCAAATAATTTGAGTCAAATCTCATCTTGAATCATTTCCGATGGAAATTTTTTATTCAATTTTTTTATTGATCTCCTTTCAAAATGGAATAATATTGAATTTCCCGTACTTTGGAAACATCAAATCTGATCAAATATTCATGAGATTCAAAGCATTAAAACGTATTAAGGAACTATTATGTTGGAAAGTTAACTTAAAAATTTATGAATCAAATTAAAGAAAATTGCAAATAAAACTAGAAAAAGTTGTCATATGCGGCTGATTCTTTTGAGAATCAATGAGAAAAAAGTTTAAATTAATACTTTTATAAAAAGCTTTAAATCCATCCGTTCTTAACGTTTATAAACTCTTCACAACAAGGCATAAGCTAGAGACAAATGCAAAACGTGCGATTTTTTTAAAAAATCTTTGCATTTCTCTAAGATTCATCAAATCTTAAAAAATCGCATTTTAAAGAAATTTGGGTCACAAATGTGTTCACAAAAATCTTAAATAAGACTATTAAAAATCTTTGTTGTAGTAATTTCATTTAATAAGTCATTGTAGATTTCAGCTTTTCAGCAATGCTAAAAACATGAATGCTTTTACTCATTTATTTCTTACAAATGTTTTGCTAATTAATTCATCAACAGAAGCATGAATTGTGAGGAAAGCGTAAAGAAGAATGGACGATAAATGCCTTGATAAGTTTTGTTAGAGAATGAAAGGAAAGGAATAAGGAATACGATGAAGATTTTATAGTTTTGGATGTAAACTTTGTTGTGGTTAGATAGAACTAGGGGTTCTAAAATCGGGAATATTCCCGGGAATCCCGTTCCCGTTTCCCGAAAATCTGTCGGGAATATTCCCGAAATTCCCGTTTTCATACCAAAAAAAAACCGGCAATTCAAATTAGTTTTTTTTTATTTTGCATTTTCCATGAAAAAACTACAATTTAAAGAAAAAAATTATAATAATGAAAACATACGTTAAGGAATTTAAGAGTTGAAATATTAAACTCAAATTTGATGTTTTTTAAATCAAAAACATATGTTTATGAAAAACGAAGAGAAAAAGTATTTAAAAATATTTTTTAAATGTATGATGTCCATAAAATAATAAACTTAATTGACATTGGATTAGAGTAATTTTTCCAAAATAAAAAAACGTGCTTGAAATTAATATTTCTGTAATCCACCAACATCTACAAAAGCTGAACGTAACTTTTCAATCTCCAATAATATTGTCTCAAAAAATCGCAGTAGATTGCTAGACCAGTTAAAATCGTACTTTAAGAATTGTTCTAAAACCAAAAAGAATTGAATTTCAAACGGAAATTATTGTCAAAAGAATCAATTTGACAATCAAATCAAATAGAATTTAAATTTGATTTAAAAACCTAAATAAAAAGCTTTTAAAATTTTGAATTAATACTATATATTTTTGATAATTTTCGATCATATCCATCAGTTCCACATCCATAGAACAATCCTGTTCAGGACATTGAATCATTTCAGGATGAATAAATACCAATTCAATAAGGGCAATTCCACAATGATTCATATTTGAAAAAAATGTTCAAAAATTCCTTGTGCATAATATTTTTCAAACACATTGAAGTATTGAAATTCTTTGTTGATATTCTCTAATTTAGGCCTTTAAATACCTTTAGTTTTACTTAATTATTGATTCCTCAAAATATTGAGTCATGAAATTGAGCATAAATAAGTTTTTTTTTTACAAAGTCTACAAATGTTTATCAAAAAAATTGGCGCACGACTGATATTTGTATGAAAAATTATCTAATTTTCAATCGCAAATATCTCGCTTCGGGCATATTTGGGCATGTCCACATTAATATGGAAGGTTAATTAGACTATGATCTTCAGTTTTTAATAGGTTTGGTAGAAGCGGAGAGACGCGAATTTAACTTATGACTGTTTAATTAAAAGGTTTTGCTTTGGGTTCTACACTCAAACATAAAGAATTAAGCTTATTCTTATTATGCTTATGCTTATTATATAAGCATTAGAAAGAAAAATTAGAAGTGAAAAGGAGAAAAAAATTAAGAAAAAAATTTGTTGTCATTTTGTAAACAAATTTATATTCATCTTAGAATCGAAATTTTGTGAGTTAAACAACATTTTGTAATGAGATATTTTTACAGAACATAAAACAAATCATGTTCCTCAATTTTGCATTTAAAACATATAGTTTAAATAACTTGTTAATTTTGAATTTTTGAACAATTTTTTCAAATCTGAATCATTGTGAATTCCATGAAATAGTTTCATTGTTTACATTTAAGTTTGATCCAAGTCTATTAAGTATGAAATATTAATTTTCAAATATTTCTTTGTACTCTTACTTTCTTAATGTTTTACTCATCTTAAACTATTTTTCATCCTAAAATGAGTAATTCTAATTAGTTAAACATTACTTTAATGAAAGATACATTGAAAAAATAGAATTTTAAAATTTTGAATTCTGTATTTTTTCACGGAATAAATCTCTCCGTTACTTAGTAACATTTTTTAAAGTCACATAGAAATTAAAATTGTAGCTTAATTAAGCACTTTTGCGTTAATATAATGCTAGATTTTGGTAGCTTTATTATCAATCTTTGAGTTGTGACAGTCTTTATTATTAACAATCTGCGAAAAGGAAAGAAAAATCACTTTAAGTGAGTGTCCAAATTATTTTTTCTTCGATTGTGTTACTAAGTAACGCCAAAAGAATTGAAATAATTCTTTAATTAACCACTTTGAGCAAGAAAATTTCTGTCCATTAAGTAGAAAATGATGTTTGAAATGGCCTACGAAAAGCTTATTTGCAGTAGAATA